TTGCCAAGCAGGAGCACTGTGAAATCTGGCACTCTGTAAATCCAAGGAAGCCCGAGCTATTTCTTTCCAAGATTTCCTTAAATTGAAGGAAAAGGACCAGACTGCTCGCGGCGTTTGAGACGTCCCAGAGCGGAGCCATTCCGCTCAGCGCAGCCGAATCGCAAAGCGCTCTCCCCTAAGCTTTTGTCATGGAATCTCACCTCCCGCCGAGGAACCCTTCCCACCAGGGAAAGTTCCTGCATAATGACCCGAGGTGTGACTCAATTAACAACATCCAGGCGGCTGCCATTGTGCTCCAGGGCCACGGGCACCCAAACCCGCCCGGGCGGCTCTCGCAGCCCTGCCCGCTGACCCCGCGCAGCCTCTGGCCCGCAGCAAAAACGCGGCTTTATCTAAATTACCCGTGCGCTGTTAAGATAGGGCTGAACCACCTAACCTGGGCATGACACCGCTTCTCCACTGGCCATCTCTAGCCCCACGGGCTGCCCGTGAAAGGAAGGATGATCCGCTGGACCACGGTGGATGTCACCAGCCTTTATCAAAACCCCAAAAAGCACAATGTCCCCTCTACCTCTGGCTCAGCTCTATCTTAAAAGCGCACTCGGAGATCAATGACATTTGTCCCGGGCTAAGCTGATATCCCGAGCACTTTGTGACAGGTTTGCTGATAGGTGTTAATGTGATAAGCCCTAATAAACTGCTCGTGAGGTGCAGACTTAACTTCAGCCACAACAAATGAAACGCGAAGCTCCTCAGTTTCAGAACTCCCCAGTGCTCGGGGTTAATTCTGATTCACCGTCATCAAACGGGACATTAAACAGGGAGCAGCGATTCTGCAGGTGATAGCACAGCAAGGATAAAGGATGAGAGCTGAAAACTGAAATGATGGCTGGGAAATGGAACTGAAATGTGCGCTTGGGAGGAACATCACTGCACAAAGCAGTGGGACTCGGAGGGAGGGAGGGAGAAAAGTACAGGCAGGGAAAGGTCTCAGACAAAACTGAAGTTCAAAATTCAGTGAATAAAAATCACAACCCAGCATTTCACTGCCTAATGCCAAACATACTTCAGTAATCTTAGCAGTCTCCAAATATTCCCCAAGTAAGTAAATAACTACAGGTGCTTAATTCTAACTGAGGAATAACTTACACAGGGAATTCCATTTCCCCAGCAGATAACCCAGTTGATTTTAGTCAAACAAACCCAATTCCTCCTAAGCAAAGCGTGCTGTCTTGATTTCACCTGGTTTGGCATGGAAATGCAATCCTTGGAGTTTCTCACTTAGATTTCCATGCAGTCTTTCAGAGGGATTTCTGTTTTACAGAATATTTGCATGGTCGGAGCTGAAGTTATCCTCTGTTGACCTGCTGTTTTACTCACTGCTGTCTGGGCTTCTTTGTTCTACAAAGCCTCTCGTTTGTAAGGAACTTTGAGGGTTCAACCACAGGTTATGAATGCACAGCCCACACACAAACATCCAGTTAAGAGCAGGTTCTGTCCATGTGGGCAGTGATTTATGTGTATTTGTGTTTTTAAACCCAGACCTGAGTACCAGGTAGGTAATTCTGACCAGCAGCTTCAGTAAATCCTTAAAAAGTCCCTTCCCAGGGGTACGGTGTCAGCATTTCTGCAGAGTCAAACCACGTCCTTAAGTTGCCATTCCTGCACTTTTCCTCTCTTCCCTCAGGCCTGTGATGCCATGCCAAGCCGAAGTGGAAATGAATGGATGTTCAAACAAGGACTGAGATGAAGGCTCAGACAGCTCTGACCAGGCAATCCCGGGATCACCCATTACCACCGCATTTTCAGCTTTGACACCTCAGGTAAATTCACTTCCCGGAGCTTTCCGTGTCAATGTGCCTCATTACCAAGCAGGATTTCACCTCACCATGTGCAACTCAGCGACCTCCAGTAATAGGCATTCAAATAAAAACAAAGTAATAATGTGGGAAGAAACAAAACCAGGGCTTATCTATTCTGCAACTTTCTCCCTTTCCAGTCAAAACAATTCATTAGCATTAGGAAATACAAGTCTTACTCATCAGAAAAAAAACCAAAACAACCAAGTGTCCCTGCTCAGTTTCTGAACTCCCAAAAGCACACCTTCCTGCTTCTGCTTCATTCTCTAACGCGAGTTTAAGAACAAACCCACATAATTTTCTTCCCCAGGTTTAATTTAGAGTAAATTATAAACATTTGTAACATAAACATGCTACAGAAGAGAAACGTAATTCTTTCACAGCTGGAATCTCCAAGTGAGAGAAATGAGCTGCTGATTTGTGAAACGCTGCGAGTGGATATAAATCTCTGAGATACTCATACAGAAACAGTTCCAGAATATTCATCAAGAATAAATGGACCAAAATCTGCACTTCTGTATGTACAAAAGATCAATCACTAACTAATTAAATCCCATGCCTGCACCAGCGAGGCTGGGTCGTAAAGAACAGGGCAGACATGTCACTCAAGCGTTTTAAATCCTGCAAATCTGTAAATAATGACGATTTTCAGAGCGATACATCCCGAGAGGTGCTGTCTGACCCAATGACACACTGGGCTACAGGACCTTGCTGGTGCCACCAAGGCTTCCCAGAGGAACACGAGGTCTGTGGCTCTGAACAGCAAATGGAAACCAGCAGCCACCCTGAGGCTTCACACAACTTTCATTCGGGGAAAAAAAGGCCTTGAGACATCCCAGACATTGAGGTGACAGAAATGAGCGTGCAGAGATTTCTCTATCCCTCCAAAAAGTCCCTTTCAAAAATACATCAAATCGATCACAGCGGAATTTGTTATCAATTAAAGCTGTTTAGGTATTTCTACTAATTTTAACTACTGTCACCCACAACGGCCCTTCCTAGAAGGGTTTTTATATCACTTTTTAGAAAAGTATAATTAAGAATTATCTGTGCTACACTGAGAGAAGGACAAGCCATGAATGAAACCATCACCACATGGCAATAATCTGAACAATCTAAGAATAGCAGTTTATAATCTTGCCTGGCTGATGCATCTCGCACTATGTTTATATATTGCTTCAGTCATTTCATTTTGAGACTATTACATAATATATCAAACAGAGAGACACATGTCAGGGCAGAGAAAACAAACCTCTCACAGAAAAACAACTTTTTAGGACAACACTAAAGTAGTTTTATTGAAGTATAAATCTAATCTTCTCAATCATTTAAGCAGCCCATAAGCAGCTTGTTTGCTTGAACTCTTACAGCAATTCTCCATTAACAACTTAATTTTAAACACGATTTATCAAAATAACAGCATTTTTAAAGAACTGCTTTAAATATTAAATGCAAACACAGCATTGCAAGACAGACTTTTGAGGCTGAGAAAACCAAATTAGTCTCCAATATTGCTTCATTAGTAGCCCAGTGCTGTTCCTTTTAACTACAATCCCAGCTTCTAGCAGAGCCACTCTTGGGAAATTCCTAAAGTTTTGATCACAGTGTATTCTACACAGTAAATTAAAAAATAAAAGCCCACCGTGATAAGACAGAGGATTCCTTTTAATACCACCAGTCAGGTGAGAAAAAGCAATGAGGGAAGCACGGAGCCTCCTTTGACAGCTGTAACCTCGGAAAAGCCAATCCACAGGCACAGAGGTTTGGCTGAGGCGGAGACACGGATTCATTGAGGAAATTCTGGAGGGTGCATTTACTATCAGCTCTGCAAGTACAGACACATCAGGCGACAGCCTCTGTCTGAGCTTACACAACTCCCAGGAGCACAAAATAAACCTTACTCTTACAGAAAACTGTTTGAAGATCAGCAAGACAAAGCAGTACGTTCGGAGGACACCACAACTGCGGGCAAGCCTTTTCAAAGCTGCCCTGCTGCTCACCAAAAACCTCAGAAACTTAAATTCACCTCAGCGGACAAAGCAGAACACGCATCACATGTCCACGCCGAACAGCGGCTGGTTGATTTGGAAATAACATTAAAGCTCCAACGCTTCACGCAACGCGTCCAGCTGACGCCTCTGCCATGCGATGCACGGCGAGCAGCAGCACAAACCATCGGTGTTAAATAACCCCGAGCAGCACCGGGGGTGGCTGCAGCAACACAGGCACTGTCCCACACGGGGAGCCAAAGCTGCTGTGCGTCCCTGCAGCCCCACATGTGCACAATGAGTTTATGTGTGTGTGTGTGAGGGCTGTGCCCTCAGCCCCACAAGCGCAGGGACTGACAGCAGCTCAAACCGCGGCACGGAGCTGCCGCCGGGCTCGGGGACAGCCGGCCGGAGGAGAGGGACACGGAGAAGCTCGTTGCCTGTGCAGTGGCACAGCACAGCACGCTGCACCCAGCACTTTCACGCCGCCACCACCTCCCCAGCTCCAGCCCGAGCGACTTGACAGCCACTCACAACACGGTTGGCAGGAGTAGTATCAGCTTTAGTCCACAACGCGCCGAGCACCCCGAGCCGGCATCCCGAGCCCGCTGCAGCACCCCCGGCATCCCCGGCTGCTCCGGCATCCCGTGCACCCCGCACCGGCACCCCGGCTCCGATACTCCGCTCCGGCACACCAAGCCCGCCGTGCCGCTCAGATATCCCGAGTCGGCTCCGGCATCCCGATCTGACAACCCGAGCACGCTCCACCGCTCTGACATCCCGAGCAGCTCCGGCAGCCGGAGCCTGTCCGGCAGCCCGCGCCGCGCTCCTCCGCTCTGACACCGCGCCGCGCTGCTCCGGCACCCCGCTCGGCTCCGCGCTGCCGCCGGCCCGGCCCGGCCCGTCCCGTCCCGCCGCCCTCACGCCGAGCCCCCCCCGCTCACCCGCGCCCGGGACGCGCAGCAGAAGATGGCGGACGGCGGCAGGGCCCGCTCGCGGCGCCGGACCGCGGCTTACGCTGCGCCGTTTGCGCAGCGCCCCGCGCGCCCCGCGGCGGAGCGAGCGTAGCGCGCTTGGTGAATACCGGCGGCCGGTTCCCCGTGCGGGGGGTGCCTGTAAACAATGGTGCCCCCCCGGCGCCGCGCTCCCTTACCGATTCTTCCTCCTTCTCCATCCCCGTGGGCATCTGCGGCACGGCCCGGTTGATGGAGACGCAGTCGTTGAGGTCGGGCATGTCCTTGCCGCGGTAGATGGGCAGCGGTTTGGCGGCGTCTAGCGCCCGGGCGCGGAAGGAGAGTTTGCTCATTGTCTCCCCCTCACAATAACACCCCGGGGCCGGGCGGGCGGGGGGGGGGGGCCTTCAGTGCGGCCTCGCCGCCGCCTCCCAGCCGCTCCCGCGCCGCGCCCGCGCCACCATGGAGGGTCCTGCCGCCCCGGCGCAGCTCCCGGCGGGGCCGCCCGTAGCCCGCAGCGCACGCCCCGCAGCCCTAGATCCGCGCCGGGCTCGCTCGGTCCGCTCCCTGCGCCATGGCAAACATGGCGGACATTAACCACAGCCGCTCGGCCCTCCCGGCAGCCCGCGCGGCGGGAGCGGCGCTGCGCGCGCAGCCGAGGGCGGGAGGCTGAGGGAGCCTCAGGGAGCCTGAGGGGGGTGGCGGGACCGGGCGGGAGCGGAGCGCGCCGAGCGTCCGGAGTGAGCACGCAGTGTCCCCGGAGTGAGCACACAGTGTCCCTGCAGTGTCCCCTCCGGGTGCCCACAGTGTGCCCATAGTGTCCCCGCTGTGTCCCCTCCGCGTGCCCACAGTGTCCCTACAATGCCCCAACAGTGTGCCTACAATGTCCCTGCTGTGCCTCCACGGTGTCCCTATAGTGTCCCTATATTTATTGTCCCCACAGTGTTCTCCCAATGTCTCCCCACTATAATACCCACGGTGTCCCGGCTGGATCCCCACTGTCTCCTCATAGTGTCCCCACAAAGTCCCCGCCGTTTTCTCCACAGTGTCCCCACTGCGTCCCACATTGTCCCTCCCGTGCCCCCATAGTGTCCTCGCTGTGTCCTTGCCATGCCCCGACAGTGTCCCCACAGTGTCCCTATATTGTCCCCACAGTGTCTTCCCAATGTCTCTGCACTGTGATCCCCACGGTGTCCCGGCTTGGTCCCCACTATCTCCTCAGAGTGTCCCCACAAAGTCCCCGCCGTGTCCCCATAGTGTCCTCGCTGTGTCCCCCACAGTGTCCTCACAGTTTCCCCTACAATGTCCGCACCGTGTCTCCACAATATTCCCATTGTGTCCCCACAGTATCCTCACAGTGTCCCCAATGTCTCCCTGCCATGTCCCCACAGTGTCCCCACTCAATCTCCCCCAGTGTCCCCACTCTGGACAAACCAGCGGGTTTGTCTCCTCAGTGTGTTGGTCAGTGTGGGCTTAAAGTGTTTCAGCCATGAAAATGTCAGAAGGGTTGGGACGCAAAACGACATTTCAGATATAAACTTGTTCCTGAACAAGTATTTTAATTCTTTTTTTCAACAGACTCACAGAATATTTAGGGTTGGAAGGGACCTCTGGAGGCCACCCAGTGCAACCAGGGTCACCTGTTGCAGGTGACACGGGAACACACCCAGGTGGGTTTGGAATTTCTCTGGAGACTCCAGGCTCTCCCTGGGAATCTGTTCCCATCCTCTGCCACCCTCATGGATGTGGAACTCCTCGTGTTTTAGTTTACTAAACTCCTTCATCACTCTTTCCACCAGGAGCAATGTCCTGCAACTTGGAATTTAGTAATCCCAAATTCTCACCTGGACAGAGCCTCAGTCCTCTGCTCATCCAGAGTTTCCTGCATGAGTCGACATTAGTCTGCAAAACCCTTCATCAAAGGCTCTCAGTACCTCAAATATCTCCTCACTTCCATTTTATTTTGATACCCTGAGACCAAGCAGCTGCTTCTGTCACCTCCACCTTAGAGCTCTCACAGGGGCTGTCAGTATCACCTTCTGAAATAAACTGAAATTCTTACTCAAAACTTCACTGTTTGGATTACTGTTCCAACTGTAGCTAATTTCCATTTTTAAAAAAATGAATAAGTTCAGTCTCTGAATTGTCTTTTTAGTTACCTGTTGTGGTTTTTATTTACATGGTTTTGTATAGCAAATACAACTGCTGTTTGTGACAAACACATGATTAACAAAATGAAGAATAAAGAATTGTGTCAGCTAGAGAGAGAGAGAGAGAGAAGGAAGATGAAACAAGCACAAGAATACACAGGAGGGAAAAAGGAGCAGCAAGAACATTGTGTTCATCAGCCACAGACCCAAATTAGCTTGGGAAAGAGATCTGGAAATTATATTAACTACTGCTATGAAAGCATCAGGTAAGTATTCAGTCATGTGAGCAAATCAAGCTTTAAAAACAGGAGAAAAGAAACAGAAAGCAAAACTGTGGTAGACTGCACTTATTTATAATTCCCTTAGAGTAGTTTTATTTCACAAGATAGACAATTCTTGCCTTGGATTAGAATTAACAGGTAAATATTTAAAATTTGTAATGGTTTAGCTTGGAAATGATAATTGAGCACCGTTGTAGAAGCACAGCCCAGATGGGTTTGGTGCCTGGAGCAATTCAGGATGATCTGGCAGCAGAGCAGAGGAGAGTTGCCATTCCACAGGGTGGTTGTGACACCATCCTGCACGAGCTGTATTTTCCACCTGGGTGCCATCACCTGGGGAGTGCACAGGTGACATCCCTGTGACAGGAACAGGCAGCTCCTCCTCAAGCACTTCCTTGAGCAGTTTAAAAGACACCACGACTTTGCTCTTTGTGCTTCTGCATTTTACTCACTGCTGGAAGACTTTTTCCCCCTTTCAGTCAGCACAGCTGAACAATAGATAATAACAACCTTCTCCATTTGTGTGCGTGTTCTGCTCTTTTTCAATAGTTAAATTTTTTTAAAAGTACAAAAATGAAACATATTTACCCTCCAGGTGGCTCTTAGTCCTAAACTCATCCCATTATTTTATTTCTACAAGCAATGCAAGTTTTTTAAATGATGCCCTGTAGGGTACAGAAGGGGTTTTTTATGCAGTCAAAAAAGCCATTGCACAGAGCTGAACATGGGCAGAACTAAAGTTTCAGCTTGCATTAATTTAGCTTTAAGCCAGAACCATTCATCTTTTAAGCATATAATCTGATCTCTTCTAAAATGTTATAGGTTTTCTGAAGAATTTCTCTTCTAAAATATTATAGGTTTTCTGAAGAATTGTAGCTGTAAAAAAGAATATGAGCTGTAACTCACCTGTAGATAAAATTATTTACTTTTCATGCACAAATCAAGGAAACAATGTCTCAAATGAAATTATTTGTTCAATAGCTGAATTCTGACTCATCTTCATAGAGGTAATGGAATTGAATATGCACATTTGAACACTGGATTGACCAAAAATCCTCACATTTTATTGAAACATATATACCAGTGGAAATATCAGAGCTGTATAGGCTCAGGAGCTTTATCACATCCTTGCTTTTGCTTCTGCTTCTCCATAGTGACATTTAATACAAAGAATCCTTGTTCTCACCGTAGCTGCCTAAATCCTAGGATATTTCTGGTGGTCTTTTTTTGCAGATTTATCCTGTTTATTTGTTGGTTTGGGTTTGGTTTTTTTTCCCCCTAATACTTCATATCTCACTGCATTAATCTTCTCCAAGCAGAAGCATCACTTATGGGTGATTATCTCAGTGTACATTATTGCAACCTGATCCAGCAGGAACAGGTCCTGCTTCTTTACTCTGTGTGTTGTTACCCACTAAGTACAAAAAGAAATAAAATAAAATAAAAGTAAAAATAAAATAAAATAAAGCTCAGAGTGCAGAAAACAGAGATTCCAGAAGTGATAATGGCCCCTGCCCAGGCACGGTGCTGGGTATCCAAAACCTTCATTCAAGGTGTTCAAGGAGAACTGCAATTTTTGGGGTGCTGATGACTTGACTGTAAATACACACAAATAATCAAGGTAAGAAGTGCACAAAGAATCATCTTCTGCATCGTGCCAGGTGGTGCAAGTAGGAAAGCCACGCTGCCAATCCACATCACCAAATATCCCCAGTGTCGCTGGTGCTGCTGTTGTAAATCCCAGATTCCAGCTCTTTACAGAGGGGTTTGATCTCATGTTTAAGCAAATCCTCACTAGAAGGAAGCCTGAAAATATCCAGGAGCTGGCTTAGTAACTCCAGCACAAGGGAGAGTGCTGAGCTTTCCAGGAGATCCATGAATGGACGAGGGGAGTCTTTTTAAAGGTTATGAAGTCCTTCTTTCTCCCTGTGTCTGAGAACTCTGATTGAAGTGAAAGGAACCTCTGTCCTATTCATTTCAAAGGGGGTTTTGTCAGGAAAAAAAAGAGCTTGATCAAAGTAGCCAGCAAGCATGCTTAGTGCCTAATGCTCAGAGTTAATGTATCATTCCCAACCATTTCTATTTCCAATTATTCCAAGGGTTTAGGGAACTGGAAGCCTGGGCATTTTCCCCTCGAAGGTCACCCAAACCTATCAGCCAAACCCTGAAATCGAGTCTGGAGTAGCTTCCTGGGAGATTTCAAGATCTGAATGAAAATTATAAGAGTTGAAAATGGAGTTAAAAATCTCAAGCCCAAACCAAATAAAACGAAATAAAAGGGCAGCTATGAAAATAGCAGATTCCCCAAATTACAGCAGGAAGGGACAATGATGAAAAGCAGCAGGAAGCTGTCTATTTGAGAGTTTTATATCAAAACTATTTGTGTCAAGAAATGGGTTTAAAATGAAAGGGAATTGTGCTTTGTGTGTGGAGGTTTCCACAGGCATCGGGAGCTCTTTAAAGGAACCTGCTGCAGCTGTTTCCTGTGGTATAAAATCTTGGATTCTGACTCAAAAGATAAATCTACTCTTGACTGGGCTCTTTTACAACCCAATTCAACAAGTGAGTTCACAATAATGCAGATATGAAACCAGAGGAGTTTGGTTTGGAATTATCAAGTAAAACCATAGGGCACCTGCAGGAGTGCAGCTCAAACCCACAGAAATATGGGGTTTTACCACCAGGAAAAAGGTAACTTTACAAGGCAGTGACCAGTGAAGAAAATTACAATTATGACTGGAACTAGAAAAGTATTGTTAAAATCACTTCGTAATAAGGATGTTATTTATGCCCTTTAACTTTGGAAAATAAGAGTAGAGAGATTTACTCAACTGTTACTTAGAAAAACATAGCCGAGAAATATCATGAAAACCAAGTTTACAAATGTATGCAAATTTATCCCAAAATCTCACACCTCAGAAAGC